GAGGCGAATGAACTTTCAGTCCGCCAACACCACGTTTGTCTAGACAAGACAAAGGCGTTTTGCTTTGCGGCCTTTATCTGAACTCCTTTTCGGATTTCCTGGATAAATATTTTATGGGTTTGATTTTTGAAATGCAGAGATATGAAAGGATCGTGTTTTCTAAAAAAATTGTTACAACGAACTTAAAAGTCACTGATTTTATCTTATCCTTCTTTGGTACGACTCGTTTTTCCTTCTTGTGTTTAAGCTTGAGGTAAGCACTCCTTCTTAGATCTTGAACGCAATCATGAACTTTATTTTGACCTCCATTTTTCCTCATTATATCTTGCAGAGTTCCGATCTAACTTCTTCTATCATAGAGTTTATTGAGGGCGTAAGCTAAGTAGGTAAAGTCGGTATTGGATTACAAGTACAAGGCCTAGAATTCTGTCGATAACTGAGAGCGAGACATCCTTTAGTTTCTTGCAATCCCAGTTATTCAGGGTTCAGGGTTAGATTACCTCCCGACCAGAACCAGACCCGTGTGTACGTCGCATGGCGACCCGCGCGCGCCCCAAAGAGCCATCAGACCACCACAGATGGGGCCTAGTTAGGCTGATGCCCGATACGAAACCTCGGAAAGCCTCACAGGTTGCCGAGGCTTTGGTTCGAAGAGCAGGAGTAGGAACGGGTGGTTTTTAGTCAGTAAGAGTCTGACAATCCCTCCTGCCTCACCCAGACGGGAACAGTAAATCGATGATATTCCCCCCTTAAAAAAAATCTGTTGCCATAATCTGGTTTGGAACACAAAAAAATCCAATAATACTCTGCGTGATCCCGCAATACGACCAAAAACTTCGACAGATATCCCCGCTACCAATTGACCATTGAGAAATATCCATTTCACAAATCCCACAGCAATATTCAAAGAAAAATTCCATTATAGCATTTATAGCTATTCGGATAATATACCTATGGAAGAAACTTACACAAAGTTTCTTGTGTAGGGACGTCATATGGCTTACAAATTAGGATAGATATAAAGTTCCTTGCAATAAGGTTAACACAAGCACGTGGATTTAATCCCAGACACGTGTGTCGTGAATATTATATTAAGGTAAACTCGATTTTAACTTTGACTACAAATATTTCTTTACTAACTTATTTTGAGTTTGAATTATTCATTTAGTTGTAAATTTTAAACTCGTTTGATGTCTAATTATAATAAGTACCTATGTCGATGTTGTTGGATAGGTCCCGGATTTGGCTGTAAATTCGGATAAAACATTTTTTTTTAAAAAGGGTATTGACCTCTTACTTTCAAGTGCTGTCACTTAGACGGGGCATTCATAGAGGTGCGTTGTGAGCAGTCATTCGATGATTTTTCCCCCCTTAAGAGGTCCGTTGTCGCAATTATTAAATAGATGAGTTCAGAATTATAAATACGCCTTCTTAATAGGGTAGTTTCCAGGGTAAGAAAATTCAAAATCCAATTAGTCCTTCAGTTAGATAATGAAAAAATATTAGATACGTATTTTTTGTTTTCTCGTATAAAGTTACAATACTTAAATAAAATGGCGTTAAGTTTAGGAGTGGGAGGTAGTTACGTCATACGTGGTAAATTTTGTAGCACGCTGTGACGTCACGCGATATTTCAAATCAATATATCGTCAAAAGCATTTAATTTTGTGAGAAAAGAAAAAATACGTGTCTAATGTTTTAAAATAATGTACCAGACGGAAATTAAAATAAAATTTAGGAAACTACCCTATTTAGTACATACATAATAGTATTAAGGTCAGGGTCATCTTCTATTCTCATGAATGAGGTGTAATCAATGTGTTAAAAGTTGGTTTTAGGATCGTATTTTACGAATATATCTGGTTGAAGACATGTAATATTGGTGTGTATAGAACTGATGTTCCTACGGCCTATCCCATCGGCATATATCAGGCTCATTTTAGTGTCAAAGTGATATGAACTTTGATACCCTACTACTAAAGTTTCTAATTGGAAAACTTGAATCATTGGAACTACCTTTTCGTACCATTCAATTATGAATGGTTCCTGGTTTTACAAGGTAAAAAATCTTAGTATTCCATTGCGACATATCACGCGAATAGTGCAACTGACACGAATCATGAACTGAATACCAGCGACTTTGGAACTTACCACGAAAGTATTACGATATCATATTGATTACAATTCACACGGCGTTTGTGCCCTTTTAGTTTCATTTACGCAAGCACACGTGGCTTCACATTCGCAATCTACAATACGACGTATACATGCATCATTTGCTAGTAATATTTAGACTCTAAATGTAGAGGGTGTGAGTTTAAATTTAAATGAGCGTTGAGAGTTATGATGCATGCCAATTTAGTTCTGTTATCTATATCAGGATACAAGTACATGTGTACTTAGAGCCTTTGTTTTTAGCTCAGGAGACAAACGCAAGAGTAATTTCATTTTTTGAATTAGTTCGCTTACTTCCTATGCTTATTGTTCAGTAGAAAAGATACTATATCATATTCTATTTGTCGATGGGCTACGCAGAGATATATAAGCTTGATTAATTTAATTAAGCCTGTAGTTTTTAGCATTCTTGGACATTTTTAACAATTGAAAATGTCAAACGAAAACATATCGCATGTTATTTTGACTATTAGACAGGGTAACTAAACAAAACTTCTATTTAAACTGTACACTCGTAGCAAAGCAATTAAAGAATGTTAAGCCAAAATTGCTTCTGTGGACTGCCAATAGTGTCTACCTACCATTCGTGTTTGTACATAGCATGACTAACGGCCCTCACTTCGATACCTCCTACCTAAGAGCCTCTCGACATAAGGTATTACCAACTTACACAAATATTTTTTTTCCCTACCTGTTCATGTTCAATAATCAATATGAAAGAAAACCTTATTAATTTCTTTCAAAAGTCACTTTAATAAATACATAATACGTTAAAAAATAATTTAGAATAAAAACGGTTCAAAGTTTATAAAAAGAACAAGTTTCCGATTGCGACTAGTCGTTCGTTCGACGTTTTCTATTTGTCCAATCGCAGTCCGCCGTCAGGCACGTGAACGCAGATCGCTGCACGTGACCAGTGACGTCACCGCTGCAATTGCAACGTTATTATGATTGAACGAAAATGGAGCATTGAACTAGTGATACGTTTTGTAACTCATCGCAACCTCGATGCTAATCGATGTTTTCTACTATCGAATTATTTTGTTTCTCTCGATTCTTTTTGAAGGGATGGGACTCTATATTGATAGTTGTGTTCGGTTAAAAGTGGGTTTTGTTTATTTGGGGTTAAATTAAAAATAATAATAATAATATATACACATTAGATTTTATGCGAAAAAAGTGAAAATATTTCCAGTACAGAGGGCACTGGAACTTCCAGTGCCCTCTAGTATCAAAATCAGCATAAAGTATAAAAATATAAAAGTCTGGAAGGTATGCTGATTTTTATACTGTACCTAGGTATCTAAAATAAAATAAAAAATAATTAAAATAGAAAACTTAAAGGAGAAGAATTTTCGAATTCGAATCTTTTAAGAGGAGGAAAATGAGTGAAAATTTTTGATCAGAAATACAAAGCAAATAGGTACCTATCAAAAAATAAGTAGCATTACTTATTCATTTCCATCTTCGAAAGTAGAATTTATAAGAAAATTAGTCAATCGTGGAAAATCGGCCGATATAACTATGTAAAATATTATAAAACCTTGTGTTTGTATGTCTTGTCTTTTCGCCCTGCATAGAGCTACGTGTTTGTGAACGCGTCGGTGAAACACGTGCCTCAACTAGGGTGACCATGACGTCTATGTAAACGGGACACTCTGGTATTCCGAATTTAAATGCAATACTTTTTTAGTACAGCTGAATAACTAGTGTCATTTTTGTAAGTAAACAGTATTATTGCTTGTTAGCATTATTGTAGGTAGTAGTAGGTAGGTATTTAGATAATAGTGTCGGTCAAGGGCATTTACATAAATTGAAAGTTATTAGGCAATATTGATCGACTAAAATGGTTAAAAATAGGTGATGGTGATTATGAGTACATATAGTACCCCAGAAAGGGACACACAGTAAATTATTGTAATGTATGTCAAAATTTGTGAAGATTGCTGATTTTTCAGTGTCAACTATTTTTTCTTTTTTACTAGTATGTTTTCTGTAATCTAGATATCCCTATCGCTAATATTTGTATTTGTTATGGATTTTCCTTTAGGTTATTTATTAGAATATTATTCAGCGCTTTTCCTGTTTATTTTGTCTTTGTTTTATTAAAAATACTAAAAATTTCAAAATTAAATAATTATTAAATACGTATTTGCCTATCAAACACATTCACAAATTTATCGAACGCACACCCATTTATTACCCATACAAATTGTTTATGCAAGTGTGTTCAATTTTCGTATCTACTATTTAGTACAATCACAGAAGATAGTGTATAGGCAAACATAAGAAAACGTGATGTAAATGTTTGGCACACGTGAGTTTCTTGGCAATCACCATTTTGTATCATTGGAAATATGTATATCGTTACATATTCTAGTTATGTGACCAATGATTTAATGTCAACATGATATCTATTTATCATTTTTGAATTCTAGTCATGAATATATTCAAAGCCAAAAACTGAAAACGGAGTTAATTTGCACAGATTTATTTGTATTTAGTGCAATTAAATGTACTATTAACGGTTTCAGTGATTTTTTTACTCAATAAAACATTGATACTATCCTACAAAAGTCCTTCAGCATGTACATCGTACTAGTACAAAGCATTTTAGCACATCACTATCGTGTTTAGCGCGTAGTTGACGGACGTGTTATCAGCGTTTCAACTTGAACCGCCGCGCGCCAAGAGATCTTAGACTGTCCCTTATTTCTTGCGCTTGTAGGGAGCCTACAAGCACACGTGGCTGTTGAGGGCATCATTATTCGTCGCACTGTGTCAGTAGTGAGAGTGGTCATGTACTCACCTATCGCGTTCACTAAATGTCTGTGATGAATATACTATTGACGCCGTTTTCGAGGCCCGACCTACGAGTGCCCGATCATCTGCCGGGACTTCTGGCGTGAGTGTTTTGTTTATAGTGTTGTGACAACTCAGTAAACAATGCCACTTGATTGACATTTGTGTGAAGACACGAATTTTATCGATTCATCGATTCCATCAAATTGTTTGTTGACACAAAATCCAAACATTCTTATTCAGTGTTTGGATTTTTTATCTTGACAACATATTTAGGGGTAATCTTTGTTAAGGATTAGGTGTGTTGATTATTTGATTATTCGGATGTAAGAATTTGTAGTGAATGAGAGATTTAAAGTTAGTTAAAATTCAATCCTATGCGATTTGACAACAGAACCATATATTACCTGAATATTTAGTAAAAATATATATGGTTTGCAGAAAAATATGGACGGTTGAAGGTCATGTTTGGAATAACTGAATTAAATATAACGCCTTCACGTGGCTTTCAAATAAATATATATTTGATAGAACAGGTACCTTGTTATTATAATATTTATATTTTTAAAATAAAATTGAAATAATGTTTCAAAGAAAGGCTTTTCTGGGTTACTTTTTTCAGGAAAGCATCAGACCTAGACAGCAGTGTGACAGTATACCTAATATTATAAATATGTCATCATTCTTAAATTGTGTATTATTAAACTAAAGTAAGAAAGTCATGATTGTGAATGATAACAATCTGTGAATTATGAGTAAATAAAATTATTGGGGACACATCAACTGTATGTGGTATGAGAATGGAGGACACATGTTACATACAATTACATACAATTTTATGTTTAGTCGAAACATTGGTCAAGTTACTTATCTCAATAAGTATTTTATTATTTATCGACAAATAACCAAGACAAGCCTGATTGACTTAAATCCTTTTTTATAAGGATAAAAAATAAAAAAATAATAACATAAAATTAACAGATTGTAATACACTGAAGTATAGTTCTGTCAGTACAATTTCTTTGTAATGGCAATGACAGAGATGGCACGATATGTAAAACTTAAAATTGAATAGCCTTTCTCAAAACAAACCGTGATGTTTTCTTGTTTTTAACGTAGATTGTATATTTTTATATATTAATATATCCTATATGGCCTTAAACGTCTTTAATTTAGATATAATCTACAATCACGCTTCGAAATAATATTGTGCAATAATTTGAAACCAAAAACATACTTAGCTTATATTACGTTAAGAAAAATCGGACAACTCGTGTTGTAACTTCATACGATATCTTTTATCATATGAAATATGAATACTTTATTTGTACAAACGAATAGTTGGATATTATATAGCCAGTTGTTCTTAGAAATAGCCAATTGTTTTTTTTTTATGCCAAACAATCGAAATAGCTATTTCATCTATATTTAATGTAGTCATTTTTTAAATTAAAATCATAAGATAATGTTGCTTATGTTTTGTCCTATATTACAAATTTACACCCACCCAGTAAAATCATTCAAACACAATTCAAAATATCTGCTAAAAAGAGACTACAATAAAATTAGATAATAACAACCTATTTTTTATTATTAATTTTAAATGTGGGAGAGCCACGAACGGCACGAATGGGCCGGCTCGACCGGTGTGATACCACGGCCTCACAGAAATCCGACGTGAAACAACGCTTGCGTTGTGTTTCGTCGTGTGAGTCAAGTTACCGGAGGCCCAATAACCTCCCCCCCAATCTTCCTAATCTCTATATCTCCATTAATCGTCAAATTCCTAGTCCCCAATAGGCCGTTAAAATACTTGGCGGCTAACGGCTCTGGAGTTCCGGGTGTCAATGCGCGGCGCCGATTTACTTACTATCAGGTCAATCAGGTGATCCGTCTGTTCGTTTACCGGCTTCATAAGCCATAGAAAACAAAATAATATGTGAAAACAGTTGTTGTTTTAATACAACAATCCTTGACCATTAGTCGTTGATTATAATCAGAAAATTGACATTGTTTTGTTAATTAACAAAACAATGTCAATTTTCTGAGCTTGTTTTTTAAAGACGTGCGTGCGACCATCGTATATCGTATATTTGTATGTGGAGCTGCGGAATCTAAAAATACGTAATGGTGGCCGCGGCACGTGTCTCGGGCGTCGCATCACGTTATAATTTTCACGTGCTACAATATATTACTTATCTGTGCGAACATCGTGTGACCACTTATCGCTGGTGTAGGTATTTTTGTACCGAAAGTGAATATTAATAAATTACCTAAGATATCTAATGTGCAGTACTATATAATTTCTCATCTCGAAAATGAATGCAAAAAGTGTATTTGTTGAATTGTTTTGTTTTTGTATATGTCACATGATTGTCTTAATAAAATTATTACCTAAATGTCAACTTTACATTCTAGCTGAATTTAAATGCTCAGTCTTCAAGTGTAATAAAGCTTTTCGGTGAATAATAAAACGCAATATAGATTAGTCTGCCATTTTTTTATGTTTTTCGACCACTACACTTTTCTCGGAATTTCTATGAGTATCTGTATTTTAAAGGCATCAATTTCCTTTCACATCGGTACTTGACCAAATAAATTGTTTATTTCATCGTCAAGGCTGTTCTGGTTCTGGATTGAAATAAATGGGAAAGAAATTGAACAGTAGGTGTCATCGTCATCATTAGTTCTTATGAAAAAGTTCCTTAAGTAATCTATTCGTATCTATTGTATGTTTATGTCTATAAATTCTATAATAGAATTGGTATACAATGAATGGTATAAAATGAGCAGTCATTTTTTTATTTAGATTTTCCAATTATTATTTGGAGAAATTCTGAATGACCTAAAATTCTTATCGCGTTCCAGATGTAGTCGTATAAGAATAAGTATAGTTTAGGACTTGTATAAGTTCCGAACGTATGGTAACCCTATTCACAAGGGACTAATATTTTTTTTAAGGAATCAGATATTTTATATTATTTACACATAGAATATATAATTATTTTAAGTAGGTATTTGTTTATATCATTAAGTGAAAATGCAGGTACCGGAACACTGACGTACCTATACCTACAAACTAGTTTTCAACATTGAAAGAGAAGCTCTCAGAAAATAATATAAAATATATAACATAATACAACATGCCACAACAACAAAAACACCTGGGTGACAGCCATTAATCAGTTATTATCTATGAAAGAATTAAAATTACAGAAACATGATCTCACGAACCAAACCGTGCAGGTTTTATCTACTTACCGTTATTTTCCTAGAAAAAAGAAAGAAACCTAACGTGAAAGAAAGCTAAAATTAAGACAATAATCACATTATCTTTTAGATATACGTGATATAAACACCTAAGTAGATAGAATCGTGTTGAGTGACCTTGAATGCGTTTACTAGGTCGAACACGTGATCGCACCTCGAACTAAGCATTTTTTCATTACCTACTTATACCTTAGTAAGCAATATTGTACCTTGACAAGTTTAGAATCAATACAAAACGAAATCTTAGAGTACCATAATAATATGGATAATCTCCTTGCAAGGGCGTATTTTGAATAAATATGGAATTGGAATTAGCTTTCGAAGTATTAACTATTTAATATTTAAATAATTATTTTATAAGTTGTTAGCCAGCCGACTTGAATGACTTCCTAAACAGCTAAGGGTTTTTTCTGGTATTGAGAAGTGGAATACACTTACTTCAATGTTCGTACTCCCGACTGGTGCTACGGACAACCGCGAGGGCTAATGGGGCTCCCGTTTGGAGCAGGTGTTGTATCGGGATGGTATTTAGTCAAAAAGATTCGGACATCATTTGATGATTTTCTCCATCATGAAAAGAGGTTACCCACTGTTACTGCTTTATGATCGTACCTTAAATGATGATGAAACGATAATAATGATGCGCTGAAATAAATCAGGTAGAATCAAAACAATAAGAATTTGGTAACGCAAGTAAGATTACGGGCGAAAACCAAGCTATGTATGTCGGTATCTATATCAGAACACTCAGTAGGTATTAACTTCTAATTAAATAATAGTCCGGATATAAGATTCAATTGTTTCAAATAGTTCGCAACGACCTTGCGTCCACGTTTCGTGATCACATGTCTCTTCAAAGACAACCTTGAGTTTACACAATCTATTAACTTTTAATATTCACTTTGATCCCGGTACTTCGGGATAATATTGTCGAAGTTGACAAGGAGATCACGTGGATGTGAAAGATGGATTTGTTTACGTGGAATTATGATATGAGAAAAGCGAAGCTGATAAGATGTTTGATAGAGCTCAATGGAAAATTACTTAAAGCTTTTTCGTTAAATAAAACACGTTAGGTCAATGCTAAGCCACCAAGCCACTTGCAATATGGGCAGGGAGAAGAAGTAGCTACATAGCATGTACCCTTATTCTACTATGAAATTTTTCAATTCCTTCATCGCTGTTCAAAAACTTGAACAGTATGTTCGCTTCGGAAACGCGACTTCAGAGCAACGGATCATGTGGTCTGATTCCCGAATCACCTAAGGCCTCTACTTTTTAGAAAAGGTCTATAATTAATATTTCACTCAATAACAATGTTTAACTCTTTCTTGTTACAGTTATAATTCCAACGACGGTTTCGGCCGCGTTGCTGGCGAGCAGCTCAACTTCGCTGCGCCTTCGGAAGACGAGGCCGAGTACCCGCCTGGCGCCTACTTGAAGAAGGGGAAGGTCTCGAGGGCAAGTCATACTGAATATGCCCGATTTTTATCTTTTTATATCTGTTTGATGTAAACTTGTGGAGGGCAGACCCCTGTTTATGTTAGAGTAGATAGATGTCCCAGTCAATGCATGCTTTTTACTACTTAATTTATACAAACGCCTGCATAATTATCATGCTTCTGTAATTCGTCTTTTATTGAAGTAAAAAAAAAACTTGGAAGAAATTAGAAAATTAAAAAACGTGCAGATAATTCTACTAGCGTTTGTAGTTATGTATCTAAATTCAAACAAAGTATGTATGTTGTGGAAGTGCCACCCAATATGCTCATTATCCAATTGGTTGTACAGCAAGACCCGATGTCGCACCGGATCATAGAGAAGCGTCGCAGGGACCGAATGAACAACTGCCTGGCAGACCTGTCGCGGCTCATACCGCCCGAGTACCTGAAGAAAGGCCGCGGCAGGGTCGAGAAGACAGAAATCATCGAGATGGCCATACGTCATCTGAAGTACCTGCAGGAACGCGCGAACGGTTCGTACGGAAAGCGCGCTTATTTGGTAAAATCAGTTAGTTATAATTGGAAAACAACAGGAAAGGTACTTTTGGATTAAGCTCCAACCCGTCAGATCTTCGATTCTGTTCTGTGAATGATGAAAAAAGTTGTACGTATTTATATGCTAACTCCAACAACATCCAATGTTTGAACCAAAGTTGGTCACATTCGGCGCTATGCTACTTCTATTTTCTAACATTTGACGTCATAGATAGGAATTGATCGATCTAATTGGTTGGAGTGTTTGAAATTTAATACAAATTGTATACGGGCTTGTTTTTGCGAAGGACCGAGACGGCAAAGAAATGTCGCAGATTCAAGCCCTAGTTGTTTTTTTATTTTATTTTTCAATTATTTCTAACATAGTCTTGTATTCGCCGAGGTACACAAGTATTCCAGTTTGATATTAAGCGGTACATTAAAATGAGAGTCATAAACATATTATACTCTGACTCTTGTTGCTGCCTGGTGAATACAAGACTCTTTATATTTCACTTACAAACAACAAATGAGTATTTAAATCATTTCTTGTTTCCCCACACCCGAAACCTTTAGTTCTTGTACAGTACTCACTGGAAGTCTGGAAGTAAAATTAAAATTCTTTTACAAAATCCAAAATATTCCGATTTTTTAAAATCAATCTCGTTAGGAAACATTTACTTGTAGGTTACCGGTTAAACTTCTTACGACATGGTTTTCTTCAGAAGCTTTCAAATGTTTTAAGATTGATGTCAGAATACAAAGGAAATAACAAACTAGCTATAAAATCCTTTAAAATAGATTACCTAAAATCGTATTCCTGCATGATCTCTGAATATTTAAAGTTACACTCGTCAAACAAGAGCATTGTGTGTAGTGTGTCCTAATCTTAAAAACACAAACAGGGAAAGTCTGTTGTGTGAAAAAATTAAATCATAACTAATATTTGGAAAAATATTCACTTAATTAGTAGGGCATCAACAGTGACATAATCCTTATCAGAACCTATTTATAAAATTCTTTGCTTTGAATGCATTAACGAAATTTCGAAAAGTATTATTAAAAGATCATTAGTAACATTGAGCCAGTTTTAACTTTATGAAAAAGAAAATGACATTGTTAGGCGGGCGATCTTTCAATATCTTAGGCAGTTTAAAGTGACTAAAGTTTTTGTATCACGTTCAAAAACAAAGTAAACAAAACTTGTTCATTAATGTAGTCACGTGTCGTTTTGCGTCATCGCTTAATAATTATAGCTAGGCATATCATTAGTAGTTCAAGTTGTCATGAATTAATCAACTTTAAACAAGTGAAAGCAAATTATATACAATTTTATTATTAAGGTAAAGCTTCCGCAACGTCAACTAGGAAATCTGACTCAAAACTTTTCAAAAACTATTTTAATTGATGCCCGATGATTTCTCATCACATTTCATCCTTCGCATATAAACCATACCAACTTCGTAAAATACAGAAATATTAATATTAATGAAATACTTGTGTATTTGAAAGGCAAATTAATACTCATGGATTTACAAAAACATAAATTTGCATGGTTTATGTCCGAATCACAACCGCAACACGAAAATCATAACCAGCAATCCATTAAAAGTTCCATCTGACTAAAAAGTCATATCCACCAATCACCATTAAGGTTTAACGAAACACGCTCATTACTTAACACTGAAGAACGCTAATGTTGTTGGGAGTTCCCGCCGGAAGATGTTCCATCTTCGCGTGGGGTTCTGTTGTAGCTGCTGACCGAGGACTGGGGGAGGAGCACTTCAGAGCTGGCTACCAGGACGCGGTGGCCGAGGTCATGCGCTTCCTCGTCGAGGTGCACGGGTACGGCCCGGGAGACGGCTTGTGCGTGCAATTGGCTGCGCATATGCAAAGGCACTGCGAGGCTGTTGCTAAAGGTTGGTCTACATATGGCTTTTTATTTCTTTCTTTTCACACAAAATTACAGTGAATGCCGTGCCGGCCGGCCTTGGCATTGTCTGACAGTCAAGCATAGGGAAGTGCAGATAATGAAGCGGTTGATGCGAAGCCAGAACACAATTTGAATAGTATAAAGAGTGTAGTTAATAGGATTAATCTTTGAAGGAATAGCCAAACGGTTATTAGTCATAGTAATTGAGGCTCAAACGTTTTGCTTTGTTTCAAAATCCATGCGACCTAAGAACAACTTCTACGCTGCCTTCGAATTTTAAAATCAAATGTAAATTGAAAATATTATGTGTTTCATATTTAGGTAAATTCATTGCATTTGCCTTAGTATAAATTAGAAGTTAGAACCACCATATAACAAAAAAATGCATTTTTCAGGAGAACCATTACCACGCGATAAGCCGCGTTCACACCCTGGCTCATCGTCGGAGACGGCGAGCTCGTCGAGTAGTTCCCATGGCTACACTATGAAGCCCGGCGTGATCGCGCAGGCGCCGCCCCCCGCGCCGCCGCCCTTCGCTCCCGAGCCCTACGAGGACCGCCCCCAAGAACACCCCTACTCTATGGAATGTGATCGAGGTAACTTCATTTTATTGATAGCTTATCATCGTCTTGTTTAAATCTGACACCAAACTTCTTCAATATGGTTGGGCTAAGCACGAGAGTACAATCATATTATTATAGACATTTACATAATGGCAATAATTAGCGTTTACTCAAAAAAAATAAAATGAAAAAAAAAAAAAATTTCTAAATCAAAAATATCAATGTACCTAAATACTGAATATATTTCTTTATAGTCAAATTGAAAAGCTTTATTCAAGCAAGAGATCGACTGGGTTTTTTATCAGTCGGCCATGATTTGATGACTGAATTAGTCAGTAACTGGTGACGTCACGCCGCAACACGTTGATACGATTGTCTCGTTGGGAGGGTAATGATCGAGACAACCTAAATTCATTTGTTATCATTATAACCTACTATAAAACTTAAGTACCCTCGCTAGCCCGATCATCAGCTCTACTTCAATCAACGACTCATGCCACAAAGTCAAAGTCAAAGTCAAAATCATTTATTTCAATTAGACCAGGATGGCACTTTTGAACGTCAAACAACAAAAATTTATAAGTGAAGCTAGTTGCTCATTCCAAGGCGTAGATTCCTATGGAGAAGAACGAGCAAGAAACTCCATAGGTTACTCTTTTTCAATCAGGTTTACAATACAATTCTCTAGTAACATAGTTTTATTGGTTCGATTATGTGAGAACAATGCAACACCTAAATCCAGTCAGAAAGACTGAAAAAGAAAATAACCTTGAGGATAATAAAATAAAAAGATACAGTCTGGAGCTGACCAGTTCCAATCGACGGTGCCCGTTCCGAACATTTTGCGAACTCTAGCACCGCCCAACTCAACCATTTTGTAGGGAATCGAGCGATCCACTGCACGTGCCACCGCCAACGAGATCTTTGAGTGAGCATGACAACTCCAAGCTGACATAAATGCAATCTACTAGTCTAATTTGATTGAATTAATTACAGGGCTCTCACATTTACAATAGATTGTGCAAAGTTTTAAACTATACAAATATTTAAGCAACATGATTATATTATTACACAATAGAATTCATTGAACATCACTGTGTTTCATGTATTATCCTGCGGAGCCGGACCAGCCTGCCTCCAAGCACTTTTATCCTCTATATAATCATTTAGTTTGTAGTATGCTTGTCTACATAACGTTTTTTTAATACATAGTTTAAATTTCTTTCATTTAGGCAGTATTTCTTGGGGATTTTGTTATAACATTTAACACCGAATCCCATGAACGACTTATGTACTTTTGACAATCTAAAAAATGGCGGACTTAATCTATTCTTATGTCTAGTTTCATAATTGTGTCTGTCAGACACTTTACTAAATAAATGTAGGTTTTTCCTAACATACATAATATTTTCATAAATAAATTGACATGGAACGGTCATAATATTGATCTCCCTAAACCTTTCTCTGAGAGATTCGCGACGACCTAGGTTGTATATAGCTCTGACGGCGCGCTTCTGCAAGATAAAGATAGACTCAATGTCAGCAGCGTGTCCCCACAGCAGAATGCCATACGACATGATGCTATGTAACTGAAGTACACCAGTCTTGCCGTGTCTATATCGGTTAACTGACGGATTTTCCAGACAGCATAAGCTGCAGAGCTTAATCGTCCCGCTAGAGATGTAATATGAGGACCCCATTGTAATTTGTCGTCTACAGTAATTCCCAGGAAAATAGTTTCTTTTACAAATTCCAATTTCTCACTATTCAGTAATATGTCACATTCGTTATTTTTAACGTTTGGCAAAACAAATCTAATGCATTTTGTCTTTTTATCATTCAGCACTAAATTATTTATTGTAAACCAGTTTTGAACCTTCATCAGAGCACTATTTACATCGTCATAATTATTTGTACGTCTATTTATTTTAAAAACCAGTGATGTGTCATCAGCAAATAATACCATCTGTGGTTCATTCCGGAATAAATGCGGCAAGTCATTTATATAAGCCAAAAATAGGAAAGGGCCTAGTATTGAGCCCTGCGGTACACCCATAGATATGCTAGCACCCTGTGAGTTTACCTTATTTACTTGCACCTTAAGTTGCCTATCCCGAAGGTATGACTTTAATAGATTTAGCGATACCCCACGTCTACATAATTCATACAAATACAAACAAATAGGCGGTGTCATACAGGGTTAAATAATAAATATATCTATACGGATAATTTACCCTTTTTTATTATATTGCAGTATCAGTGGCACCGACACCGATGGCAGGAGAAGGTGAAGGTCTACCGGAGTCAGAGCCTCTACCGCTAGACGGGCGACGCAAGCGAGGGGAGCCAACCTTACGAGCCGTGAGGAAACCTGACCATAATGAAGATTACCTGCATTCCTACAAGTTCAAAAACTCCATTGAAAGGCGGTTCTCGAGATCACAAGATACAGAGGTAAATTAAACACATCCATTGTTCTTCTAAATACTGACATTAAGATAAGAAGCCGAATCTAATAAGACTTGGTGCAGACCTGACAGGAAATATGTAATAATGTATACGTACCTCTCCAGGCGGCGGACATGTTGGCCCGCACCGCGCACGCGCACGGTAAAGTGTACTCGCACAAGCGGCGCCGCGCCACGAAACCGGCGCCGTCCACGTCCACGTCCAACTCCGGCTCCACCGAGGATGCTAGGGACACCTCGCCGCAGGTACAGCTTCATTCTCTTAGACTGCTTTCTAACAATACGCCTGCACATTATGTTCTTGTTAACCCCTACAAGCCTACCAAGCTATATAGTCCACAGGGAGACGAGTTCGCATTTAGAGTGAGAAAGGTGGGTGGTCACGGCTCTTGCTAACCTATTGATGGCTTTGTCGTTAGCCTCTTTTGCTTTTAATTTTTTTCTGAATGTCAGGAAATGATTTATTCCTTTCCTATTTGGAAATTTACAGCTTTAGGCTTGTAGCACGGCGTCTTCACTTTATTTGTGCTTCAAAAGGAATTGTTCTTAATCCTGACTAGTTTTGTCTATATAAATATGAAATCTGCTTACAGGATACGTCAAGTGAATCACCTCATCACCATCATTATGACAAACCACCTCCTCCAGCGCAGTACGTCCCCGTTTTTGCGTTGAATGCTCTTGGTAAGTGATATTGATTTGGCCGGAGGCAGACTTTGCTTACTTTAATATTATACATTGAATAAACCTAATTCTGTATCTTTACACTTTTGCAGGAAAATACTACGTTCCGCTAAGTGTGGATTACGCGTGCCTTCAAAGGCACCTTGGTCCGTACGATGTGCTGGACGCCCGAGCGGTGCACCTGGCGGCGCCGCTGCACCCGGTGACGATCCACGTCAACTTCCAGCCCTGTCTCAACTACCACGTCAAGAGGGAGCCCAACGAGCGAGACCAATGGCGAGCTGTATAAGCCAAATGACACGTATCCAGTGCCTAATTTATGAGCTACGGTCGCCATATTTACAGTAACGGCGCCAACATTTGAACATGACAGCTAATATTTTTAAAAGATTCTAATCCTAAAAATAATGAGCCTTAAAACGAAGCTATTTTCCGAATATCTTAAATACATATATTTTTGTATCTAATGAAAACAGCAGATATTTTTGAGATTACGTATTTCTAATAAAATTGTCAACTTAATGTTTGATCCCTGCCAAAGTGCAAAGGATTGGTTAAATGTGATTCGTTGAAAAGACAACACAGATTGGCCAAAATAATCTAGAAAAGTTTAATCTTATCGATTTTAGAAATGTTAGTTCAGCTGTGTTTTTGTATAAGTGTTATCAGTCTCTCCAGCTGGTCTAGTCAAATGTGAGTCAAAATTAAGTGCAATGTGGAACGTTGCAAATGTATATAGTTGCATAAAACAACCAATCTTCAAGTTTGGGTAAAGATACTTTATTCTGTGGGCAAATCCTGATAAGGACATTATTAATTGTAAGTTTTTAGCTATGAACACGTTTTGCCCACAGTTTCCGCGGCGGCGTACTGTGAATTTGTTTGAAGGACTATTAATGGTGTGGACAATGTTTTCAGTGTTCTTAGTTACGGCTGTGATATGTAAAGAGTAGTCAAAATATAGCTGACAGCTGTGGTGCATTATTACCAGTACAAGGAGGGGTGGTTTGACATTTGATACTTGCTATATTAGTATAACAGTGCAGTATAAAATTAGAATTAAAATAATAGGAATATTGTGTCAGTGACTAAATCATTCTTGTATTTCTTTTGTATATAATTGTTTTAAAATATTGTGCTGCTGTATCAACTGTAGAAATCATCCTTATACCAACTGATGATAACTCTCCTCAGAGATCAGACGTTACTGATAATTTGAAACACTATTTTAAGCTGATTCAAGGCCAAACAAATTTATTTTGTAAGACATGTTTTCCCACCAAATTTCCACAGCCCTGATATGCGTCTTATCCATAATACAACACGCATATAGGGAGCTGCTGAATACTGTTTCAAATATTTTTAATTTTACTTAGTGTTTGGAGGTAGTGGTGGAGACAAGGTGTGGTGTCTACTTGTGGACAAGATAAAGACTGAGGTTTTTATTTAGCGGTAAAGTTATGATTGTTTTACATTGGATTCTCACTCAAAATATTATTTACCGCAGGTTTGAGTTCAATGTGCAAAGAAGTGTCAAATTTTACGTAAATTTAGTTCTAAATACAATTTAAAATAGTCTGTTAAATGTATACTTTATTATATTTTGTAAATACATAAACATGTTTAAGTAATAAATGTTATAAATACTTGACAGAGTCGCGTTTATTATTTGCTTCAGTCGGGTATCGACACATGTGTGATGAGCTTGGATTAAAGGAAAGGCACTACATTCAAACGAAGATTTTATGTAATTAATTATCATAACATCTTTTATTCTCTAGTATTATTTTAAATTTTACATGCTTAGTTAAAACATTGAGAAAGAAATAATAATATTTAACATCTGGATAATATACAGCTTTTCTATTTACGATCCACTTAGCGTTAAAAAATTATATTAATTATATATATTGCAAAATATTCCATTGTTACATCGAATACCTTACATGAAACATATCCGACGGGGGAGCGGGACAAGCCGAAGGTGGGTGCGATCACAAGGAGGGGGAAGTACCAATAAACTAGCTTCATAATATGGCAAACGATAGAGAGTGCGCTTTTTGTTCACCATAACAAAATATAGCTTTCACTTAACATTAACTATTATAATATATACACAGACGCTTCTCTACGGGTTGATATAATTAAGAAATTTTTATCACAAAGATTTTCATCTAATATACTACAGAAACATTAAAATGTTAGACTGCGTTTTGTTGTCCTGTACACTCGTTTACTGGGCTGCCGTCGAGTGAATATTAAAACTACAATTATTTCAAATTCTACATAATTTAAGGTACCTACTTTAATATGTAATGCGGAACGAAGAAGACTAGTTGGAAGTATTATTTTCTTCAGCGTACGCACAACAAAACGCATTCCGACAATAGATATTAAGCAATTAATTTACACTTTATAAACCAGATCGAAATATTTACAAATCTATTAGGCAGGCACCGACACTGTGGCTCCAGTCGGGCTGCGCAAATGTTGAGACATTTCATAATAAATCTACATTTGATTCAATAAAAAAAAATCATAAAAATCTTCCTACAATATTCTTTTTATACAATACAAAAATAATAAAATCATGGATTAAATAAAGCTGTTAAAATATATTTTCTGTGTGTTAACAACTATGTGTATTTATTTGCCTTCGAGGCGTATTATTGCAACGTATTTCACTAGAATCTAACATTTTTAAGATTATGCGTAAAACACTTAATTTTTAAGTAGTAGCTTAGTGACGAGCCGACGTCGCGGGTAAGTAAACAAAGGAAGTGCAACTATCTAGACTTTCTAAACGGATGCACGAAGTAGGAAATCATTATGTGCATTCAATGGAAATTTCGATATGTACTTTTAGACACACAGCTCACTTGGGTTGTTGAAATTAATAAATAAAAATCTAATCATAATTAAATATTTCATCATGAATAAATTAATTCACCGGAATCGCGAGTTGACAAATAAATAGTACATGTATGTAATTGACACGCAATAAGCAGCACATTCTATTTGCTAGAACATTCTATTTCACAGACCTCAAAAAGCACACAATCTAATAATAAACAGGGTTCCCTATAAAAACCAATTTTCTGGAACCCACAATAGAAAATTTGAGCAACAATTTGGATGAAACGTCAGACACTGGGCTTATAAACGTAGTTTGACTACATAGATTTTTATCCTAAATTGCAACAATATTCACAGTTCGATTTACCTAGTAGTGGTTAAATCTACCAATAAAATAGAAACACCGATAAGTAATTACCACTATCAAAATATTAGGTATAATTTTAATTGAAGCACGAAATATAAATACAGAGAAAGTTTCTTTTAGAAAGAATTATTGCATTCGGTTAATTATTGCAATATAAGTCACAGGCAAAATGATAAACTTAGAAATGTTTGGGTAAAGCAAATTATCAACTGTACATGTAAACCCTTGTTTCAATACTCACAGAGTACCTACTCTATTACACTAAATATTTTGTTATTAATTAAACTAAACGTAACACCTTTTTAGGCAACTATCGCACTGGGAATATTAGGAAGCAACTTCTGACTGCATTCAGTCACATCAGTGCTAAATGTCGCGTACAAGATGTAAACTAAAACTAGACCTACCTAAATATAACAAACAGAATATTTTGCAAGTGCCTGGTCATAGCTTCCTTAGATCACTGGGTGCTTCTGTGATAAACTCTATTTTAGCCCGAGGTTATTCACAACATCGATTCGTTGTTATTATAGAAGTATATACAAGCGGCAACACATTAACAATTGTAAATATAACGTCCAATAGCTTCTGTCATATAAACAATTCACTTATAGCAATAAACTAACAGAATGTCGCGGTCCTCTCAATTTTCAACTCTGCAGTTTAGTTCTTACAAATAACGTAAGCGTTGTAGAATAGATCTTCTAAACTGTAGAGGTCAAAATGATAGTTTACATTTGTTAACATTATGCATTGTATGCAGTGTGTTACAAACAACTTGTGATGCAACACAAAACAAATGTACACAGTACATATCTCATCTGAACCTCCATGTTGTATTGTAATACACTGCAAGTCCGATTAACAAAAAGCACACAGTACTATCAAGAAGTAATCAGTGCTATTTTAAACTGCTTTCATTTATGAATTTGCTGTATCTAAAAGAACAGGTATATTTCTATGTATAGTACTAGTGTGATTGCAATTCATCATTCATCAGTCAGGATTCACGACCTCGTTTATCCAATTTGGATGCAAAAGCCACGTTAAACTAGGACATCGCCCACGACACCACTTGGCAACACTGCAATATAAAACAATTTATATTTTACTATGAACAAAACCGTCCACATAATTATAATACTTGAAACATAACCAATAAATATTCACTTTCGATCTATGCAGAGAAAATGGTGCCGGGTGGTGTCACAGGCATGACTTCGAACACTATTACCCAGCTGCCTCAACATTCGTCCTTGTGATGATGGACCAAAGAAATAAATCTTTGCACAATACGCTCCACTTAAATTATAACACAGATTTAACCTCTACAAATGGCTAATGCGAGAATGCGTATCTGTATTGAAACGACTCTAAATTACACGTGAAACGTCTAACACTAACAAGAGACCTAGAACTAGGACGAGCCCTCGGACCCCCTATATATGCTAGAAAACATAAAACAAATAATAAAAACAACTATAATTTACTTAAACATTATGCGTACAAAAATCCTAGCCGTCATTCCCTAAACGCACTATCGAATAAATCGATAATAAATAAATATATCAATAAGATACATAAACATTGTACATATATAAAAAATCTTTCATACCATTATACATAGATACGTTACCCATTAGGTTCCCTATAATATATCTTAACTCTCCTATATACAATATGTACAAAGGGAAATAAAAACAATTTGTACTTGCAGAAAACCGTGGAAAATAAAAACGTAGAAGTGAAACGGAAATATACAATACGCGCGCATCGCATCTAACGTACACTCTTAGAAAAGTTCCATTATACTAGTTATTATATAATACAGGCGACGGGTGTGACTCCGTCTGAGATTTACAAAAATAATGTCTTATAGTGAGCTCACAGCCCACAGCCCACTACCTGTCGCACCGCTTCGCACCGCCCGCGCCATCTGCCGGACAAAGCATACACGCGGTTAGAAATGACAACGCTATACTTGCAGTAATGTTTTATTCAACGTGCCAACATAAATACCTGTATTATGTACAAAACAATTAACCTAAATTTAACTGTAAAATACCAAACAATTCCTACGATACGTTTAAATATTATTAATTTATCATAGAAAAAATTTATTTATTCTAACCTAACCTAGTGTCAAAGATGACACGGACACAGAATTAGATACGTGTAGCGAGTATTACCTAAATCTACAAAGGGTTACTACTGAGTATATAATAAATTATAAAATTCTTATAGGCTATCCTCTCCTTCCCCACTTTAACCCCTTCACTCCAGTTTTGTACCCATAAGCTGTGCTATACATATTGCTATTCCATTGGTCCTCTTGACAGTTAGATGTTGGAGGAGTGAGTCGTGGGGTCCCCCTATTTTTCGCTGTATCGTACCGCCCCGGCTTGGTATCAGGTATATCAGTGCAAAGCCCCAAACTGTCAGCACCATGTCCCATAAGGTTGTTATGTCTCCAAGAGGCCATACCGGTGTTTTCGGTAGGTGGTCTCGTCTCTTCGTCATCAGGTAAGGCAAGACCAAACTCCCGTCGTAATCGCAAGCTTAGGTTTTCCCTTTGGCGCTCCGTAGCTGTCGGCTGAGCATCAAACACACCTGTAAAAACAGAAACGAGTATTAAACAATAGCTCAAAATTTTTTCATAATAATAGTTACGAAGTTTATATATTATGTGCATTTAATAGCAGAAAATCTAATAGTATAATAATTTGTCAAACTGAAAGACTTTGAATATAAATATTTAATTATAATGCATATAGTGATCATTATGTCCTTTAGGATAGATTATTACTAAAATTGCTAAAAACAACCTGAGAGTAAGTATTTGCATCATAAATACTCTACTAAAACCAACTGAGCTTTTTAGCTTTGCGAAAATCGAAAACAGTAACCCCATTCTACGAACGACGCGTTCTGTCGTGGCTTTAAAAATAGTTTGCTCTGGTGCATACTATAAAATGAATTCCCGCGATTACGACTGCAATAAGAACTTTATAAGTAGCATAGGTGTCGGATTATCTCACTGAGTGAGCATGTGGGTGTAAAATAAAAAATCCTCGTATGAATATTAGTTAGAATTCTGTACGGCGCAGTTGTGTTTACACTCTTGTAGTCAAGGTCAAAGCGGTAATGATTTTAGTCTTTATTGCGGCGCTCCTCGCTCGTATATACGCGGCTAACGTTATGGCTTTGTGTTAACCATTTAAACAGATTCCGTTTATTTTATTGATGTTTCCTTTAGATTAAGTATTATTTATGCGTTATAACAAGTTGCGAAATGATCTGATGTTTACAAGGCAGCTTTTAAGGGCCTCAAATACAAAACATTGTTTTTAACTCAACTTGGTCATTCTCATTCGACCTTGGACTTAATTGAGGTACCGAATTATTAATAAACCTTAGCGTCTAATGCTTATTGAATAAAAAAACAACGCAATTAGTGCCGCAATGTAAAAACTTACTTTTTACCTACAAGTTTTATAATATGACACATGGCAATACAGCAGTATCATGAAATTGCAACTCTACAATATTTATAAAAACACTTTTCGATTGCCATTCTACCTACACGCGCACAATTTATACATATTGATAAAGTAGACACGCGTAAAGTTGCTATGGAAATACATGACATAACAACACTGTTTGCATGAAACTCTGTTATCAATGAATTTTACACAAAAACATACGAAGCATCGATAAACTGGGGTCGATTATTGCATAATGAAAATAACTACACGACAATTCATTATTAAGTTCATTTCATTATGCTTTACACGTGACTCCATGTATGTTAAATATGCTAGCATTTATTAAGAGAAAATACAATAATTCTTTAGTTCACAGTAAATTATATTTTTACGCGTATTGTGAAATGAAAGTGCATTAGAAATTCGCAATGCATCAGTTGCGCGGTGTGAGTAAGGACCGGTATTTACGCACATATATTGAAGTTGCTAGCGAGCTAGCTAGCGTGATAGTCTCATAATAACATAGCGTACTGCTATACAGATCTCTGTATTTCGCTATAATTAATGATCCCGAACGACCGACTGTAAATTAAGGACTACGATAGTTAGGCGAAGTACTTGTCGCTTTATACAACATTTATTGCTTTCAAGGCACCGATTATCACTTGCTTCTACTCAATAATATTATAATGTGCATAAATTTCATTTTTCCAATTCCCTGTCCATATATTCCTTTTTGAAAGCGTATTCACGAAGGAAGCGTAACAAGGCACGACGGTAATTGCCTATGACAGCACGTAAGTCATGCGCGGGACCAACTACCAATTGAATTAATTGCTGGCGTGCTCCACTTGACGAGATAATTGTCTACAATACGATGATGCAGTTTCATAATAACATTCTGATTTTATTGAGTTAACATTGAAATTATGCTGTGGTTATACACTATATAGTTGACTATACCAGAGTGATTATTATATAGTAGTGGTAAGGTTAGCAAATACCTAACTAGGGTTTACCCTGAGTTAAGATGCTTCATTCCTAGTGGTATATTTATTTACATGTTAAGGGGATAAAAAGGTAAATCACCTTTAGGCAAGTGGGAGGCGGCCAGTTCCCGGTGCAGTCGCTGCTCGAGGTCGTCGGCGGCGGCCTGCGCCGCCTGGTCGAGGCGCTGCGGCGACAGCGAGGCGGCGCCCGAGGACTCGCTCGACCACTCGGGGGCCGCCTCCCCGCCGGAGCCCGCCTCCCCCGTCTCACCGGCTTCACTTGAGGACCCGCCGCCGCCCTCCTCCGTACACCCGCCTTTGTGCCGCTTACGGTACTCCGTTATAGAGAGCTGTGCATACACATACATCTTATTACTATTTATTTATTAATAGAAAATTATATTAACAACGAATCTGCAGTAAGTATTGAAAATAGAAAACACTATGAACTTGTGATGAATGAAATAATTATGCATAAGTATGGACAAGTAGAACTCAGTATCATTATGAAAATTGTAGTCTTCACTGTCGCATTCCTGAACAGTAACATTTATTTTCTCTATTAGTTCAAGTGTTTATTACAGAACCAACATATTTTTGTCGATGATCACAAAATCTTGGCTGAGTTCCAGATCAAACTTACCAGCCTTCGACGACATCTCGGTGTCAATATAAGTGTGACCAGCATACTCATAATATACATTCGACAAGCTCAGTTTATATCGAATCTTCGTCGAGTACCGATAACTGTGCCCTAGCATTAGAATAACATCCGTCGCCGTATCGGTCGATGCACTGTTTTGAAATACTCGACAGCCGACACACGGCTAAGTAGAAATTCTATTCTATACCATTATATTGTTCATATTGTAGACTTTACAATGAAATATCAGCAACTGAGAATGAGAGTCATAATCGAAAGTAACCTTTAACTATTCATAGAGATAAAGCAATGATTAGAATAAACAAACAATTAGATATGAATTACATAACTCATTGCAGTGTAAATAAAAACATGGTACACATCTAAGAGTAGTAGTTTAGTAAAGAAGTCCTCAGTACGACGGATATCACGTGGACATCAGTTTTTACCATTATCTAATCTGCGACCTTGGTCTGGTTTTACATGCTCTGACACAACAGCTCTGAACATTTAATTAGTAGGCAACTTTATTATATTTTCCAATGCATTCAGATTCAGGAAAGGACATGAAAAACATTTTAGAACTTAGCTCTTGTCCTAGGTCAAATGCAATGACAAAATAAATGTTTAACAAGCACTCACCTTCCTTCTTACTGGTTTAGGTTTTTCTACAGGCGGAGGGTTCAGTCTGGGGTCGTTGGTTCGCGGGCAATAAGGCTTTGCGAGTGGTTTGGGGGATGGAGCTAACAAACTCGCTTTATTTGAACTGTTGAGCACCCCTGATAATATTACACTGTTATTTGAGTCCATATTATTCACTCGCGTTAATATCTCCTGGACGCTCTTCAGATCGTCTGCTGGCGTAATACTGTCCTTGTCAAATAAACTACTATCTAAACTTGTAGTCCTATCTATTGCACTCTTTATAATAGACATGTTCGGTACGTTCTCATTTATTGAACTGTCCATGTTGAACGACTGAGACATATTGCTGAATATACCGGAGAATAGTCCTGTTGAACTAAACCGCGACGAGAAAGGTAGCGTTGAATTCTCTAACACGGACGGCCTGTCGATTGAGAAGGGTTTCTCAATTTTGTCAAGCTTTTCTACAACAGGTGATGCTGGACGAATTGATTTCACAGGTTTCATGGGTTCCTCTGGTAGCGGTATAGTTTCCGGAGGCGGTATTACAGGCATCGGACTTGGTTCTTCGGGCAGCGGTATGTTCTCAGGTGCAGGTAGAGGTATTGACTCTACAGGCGGCAGAGGTATGTTCTCTGGCGAAACATGAACTTTGACGTCATCATGAACTGAATTGCTCATGTCATCGTGAATGTCTCCATTAATTTCTATTGATTTAGACGACGTGTCATTCTCCGTTCTGAGCTGCACGCTAATCTGATCATCCACCATGTTGAGGTCGAAGTTTAGGTTCACTTTCTTTCGCTTTTCCTTGGGTTTCTTATTTCTACTCTTTAATATTTGTATGTTCTCTGTGTGGAATGAATGTATTTTCTTCTGTATATCATCCATCTCGTCGCGTTGTGGTGACGAGTTTCCACTCGTGTCTGCAGACTGGCAGCTATTTAGTTTATCATTTGGGCTCTCGATTCCCTTCACGTCTATACTAAGATCGATAGACTCTTGTATTTTTGGCTGTGCAGGTATTGTTGTATCTATTTCCATTGGCACTACTTTATTATAATTACTTTCATCCATTTCAACATTATTGTTGTTAGCTTTTATATCATCAGGTTTAGGTATTTCAGGTGGGAGTTCATCTTCAGGTGTTGGAACTCCAATAATTCTCCTAATGTTCTCACTGTCATGTGGACCTTTTATATTCATGTTCAACATGTCATTATCTATGGTGCATTGGTCATCAGAGCCCTGTCCGCTGTCCGAACGAGTTCTATCTCTACTATATAAACTATCATACATAATATTTCTGACTTTAAATTGCCTCGTCAATGGTTGCACGTCATCTTTGACCGGAGAGTCTTCTGACGTTAAAATAGGCGAGGTTTCTTCATTACACTGCATAACAAAATATTTCTATTAGTTCTAGTATTGCCTTTTTACAATTTTATAAGTATTTTAAAGATATTATGGAATAGCTACTTACAGGCACAATATTGTTCTGTTCACATGAAAGAGACTCTCTTGCTAGTCGTCGTTTCTTCAATGGCGTTACCATTTCGTTGGGTGGTGATTCTGAAACAAACACGTCTAAAATGAACATAGAATTACTGGTTCAACATTGGAAAAATATTTATATTTTAAGTGAAATATAGGCAAACCTGCAACAGGCGAGTCGCTCTCCTCGCTGATGGCCTGCCGCAGCCACCGCTTCTTGGCGCTGTGTTGTTGTATCACTGGCGGCACTACCTCGGCCACCTCGGCAGGCGGCGTACTTCTCGTTATTCGCTTGGCTTTCTTCGGAGGTTTATTTCGATCCCTCCCGGGTGTTCTAGGGGGCGAAGCTCTACTGTCTTCTTCAGGTTCCAAGTCATTCCCTCCACTTAGATCCCCAATCATAGTCGATGCGACTCTAACCAGACTTTCTAATGACGGTGCGGCGACCAAGGCGGGTCTGTAAGGAGACCTATAAGGTGATGGTGTACGTTCAGGCGACCTTCCTATCCATTCAGTCGCCATTGTTTTCTTAGTTTTTGGTAATTTAAAGGCGGATTCAACAGAACCAACAGCTGCTTCAACTAATAAGCATGCAGAGCTCAAGCCGAGTTCCTGTAATGAAAAATTTCAATATAGATAGTGACATATGGTTTAGAACAATAATATTGTTTAAAATGTAAATTGTACGTACTTCATGTGGCCCATCAGTAGTGCGGTCGTGGTCGACGTTGGGTGGAGGAATCGCACTGTCGCGGCGCGGCGGGCCCGGCCGAGGCGGAGTGAGCGGCGGTGGCTGAGCCTCGTCGCCCGACGTCACCATGTCGCTGTCAGCAGAGTTCAGACGCCGCCGGTTCGACTGCGACGTTGTACGAGCACGACCCTTGCGCCTGATCATACATACACCATCAATATTTGCAAACAATTATACGAATTTAAATTTAAAAGAAGCAGATCTCAACATTTTAAGTTTTGAAAGAATTCTAATAGTAATCTGTATTTCAATAATTTTGTAATGTTAAACTCTAAAAATGTCTTACTTTAAAAATGAAGTAATAACAGCTACAAATATAAAATAATTTACATAAAAATGGATACTTACTTTTTCCTCTTTTTAGTAGTGTTGTGAACTTCATCATCTTCATCCTTATCATTAGCATTGGGATGTGGATCAGACTCTCGCCTCTTCTGCCTTTCTTTCACTTCCTGTTTGCGCTGTTCAGCTTTTTCCATGCGTTCAAACGCCTTCATTATAGCTTCCATCTTACGTTCCTCGCGCGTCTGTAATTTAGATACAGGTTTAGAATTTTGTCTCGTCCCAAGGCTTGGAGGCTGAGTTTCACTTGAGTTTTTCGAACTCACCATCTTTCTCTTTTCTTTCTCTTTGTTATTAGTCTGTATTTTATCTTGAGAATCATCAGTTTTATCATCCAGAGAGTCTTGATTCACGCAAGTCGTCCGACTGGACCTTGATGATCTGTCATGGCATGCTGACTTAGCCATAAATTCTCTAGTCACTGGTCTATCTTCTTCCATTTTTATTTCTTCTTTAGGTTTCTTTTCTTCTACTTTTTCTGGTTTTTCTTCATCAGAATACACGGGTTCCTTCTCTATCTTAAATTCCTTCACCTCCTTTACTTCCGCTTTAGAAATGATCATTGGTCTAGGTTCTTCATCAAGTGGAAGTGGGATTAACTCGTGTTTTATTTCTTCAAATTTAGTTTCAACAGTTTCCGGCTTACAACAGTAGTCACGTTCATCTTCTTCAGGCTTCATCTCCTCTTTGGCTATCAGATCTATTTCAGTTTTAATATCTTCTATCGGCTCAGGTTTAGGCGGTTCATCAAAGTTCAATGCCATCACTGCTGTCTTCACAGGTGATAGTGGAGGGTATTCATGTTTAATTTGCTGTGGAGATTTCTTTTCGGATTTCATCGCAGATATTTGTTGTACATATTCCTTAACTGGAGTAGTGGCGGCAGGAGGGAGCGGTGGAGATACTGGTGACGAAGAACTGAAGCATCTGTTTCTGCTTCTTTTCTCTCTAGGCGGATAGTCCACACTCTTTCGGGACGCTAATGTGTTGAGACCGTTCACTTTGCAATGTTTCGGATTTCCGCAAGCACATGGCTGTTTGCTGCCATCCGCATCATGTCCAACAGTTATTTCAGTGTTAGACTGGATTACTCCAATACTAACTAAATAAACATGTAATGTGCCTTTAACTATACAGTGTTGTAACTCGGCATTTGGTTTACAAGATCTACGTACAAATCTTGCTTCATTCCCGTATGTTCTAGTATCTATGCATATTTGCGTGTTGTCTTTAGGTAATCTGTAGAAGAAGACAAAAGGTCCCGGTTTCTGGCTACCTGCTCTAGCAGTATTTTGTAGTTGTGGTCTATGCTGGTTTGATAACATATATTTGCCTCGTAACTCTATTACTGGAGTATTTTCTTTCAAGTCCTTAGTAGCAATCAGAATCTTTCCACCTGCGTGGGGCACAGTGGTACATAAATGCGCGTTCATAGCATACGCCATGTTAGGAGTATTACCAAGTTTATTGCTATACTTCATAATCTTAGCCCTCAACTCTGGACTGTAATGGTTCGTCACAGCAAGTTCATAAGAGTCTTGGAAGTGTGACTGATTCGACATGGTTGAACTGTATTTACTTCTGTTAAGCATCATTTCTTTTTTGCGTTTTACACGTTTTTCCGATAGTTTTCTTTTCGTGCCTTTTCGCACAACTTCCGTTTTCTTCGGCCTCTTAGGTCCTCGCTTAGGTAAAGTCAGTGTCGATGGTTGTGGAATTGGTGGAAGCACTGGTATAGTAGAGTTGTATGTGGTGACACATGAACCACTTGTATTGGTATACGTGGTTACAGTCAGCAATCGCTTTCTTCTCTGTCCTGGAGGACGGCTGCTTTCAGACGAGTCCGTATCTGACGCACCAAGGGCGCTGAGTTCTTCTCTCTTCCTCAACTGTATGGCTCGGGCGTGTCGTCGGTCTATAGATCGCGGATGGCAGAGCTCGCACATATATGCGTCTGGTATATTCTGCCTATCAATGCCCATACAGTCGACATGCTGCCACTCACCGCAACGGTCGCAACAGATCATGTAACCGTCGTCGTGAGTGAAGTCACAAATGCATCTCGTCTTGCCTTCTTCCTCGCCTTCAGGTGCGGTTTCAGTATCGCTACCTCCCCTGTTGGCTTTGCGATCTCCGTCAATCGATGAAATAACTGAAGCAGCATCGTCGTCTGGCGGTGGAGGTGGTGGGGGTTTATATGTAACCGGTGCCATTTGTATAGAAGAAACTGGTACAGGTGTTCCAATAACACTAGTAGGCACTGCTAAAGGCATTTCATAAGACGCTGTGGACATGATTACGGGTGAATTACGTTTTAAGGGACTCATAGGAGATGTAGTTAATGTGGGTGAAATTATGGTGGGAGGCGGGCCAGTGGATACCGGCGTCGTAGGCGGAGTGGCTGAAGGCTGCTTTTGCGCGGGCTGAGCGTACGTGTGATCCAACATCACAAAGGCTAAGGGCTGGAAAGAATATCTTCTTAGCTCTTCTGAAAGGTTTGGTCTTTCTTCCATGCCGATAATGTCGTCTTCTGTGAGTAATGTTGTTTTATCGCCACTGGAACAAAACGAAAGGTAATTTTAACATAACATTTTGTGATTCTAGAATAATTACGAACAACTTATGAATTTATACAGTTAGCATATACTCACACAACAATTCTTTTTTGATTTGCTGGTTTAACTTCTACTGGTTCTTCAGGTGTAGGCGGTAAAGGAGTAAGATTATGATTGATTGATGTGGGATTGGGTTGCAGCATAAGTTTGGGTTGTGATAATGACTGCAATATCTGGGCAGTCAACTGTTGGTTAGTAACTTGTGATACTGTTGATATTGGATTGTCTGCAGTTCCATATGTTTGAACATATCGCAAATTAGGTGTAGATCCTGACTGCACATAATGAGGACCCTTCGGTAAACTAGTACTTATTGGAGCAGTAGAAATCAAAACAGGTCCACATGGCGACTGTAACACTAAACGTTCCGTTTTTGGAGGAAATTTTGATAGAGATAGAGGTTGGCTCTTATGTGTGGGACTGCCTACTTTTTGGATGACTTTCGATGTATTTGACTCTGTTACTCCATAACTTGGCTGCTGGTTCTTGTATGTGACACTGGCAACTGGCCAAGTTTTTGCCTCTGATTTGTTAATTGACCCAGTCTGTTGTATTATTTTTATTGGCCTTGATTGGTTCTTTTGATTAGAAACTTGTCCAGAGTTTTTTGAACCCTTAAAAGTGTTTACTGATTTTCTTCCAGAATGTACAGACATTTTATTGGGTCCAGAAACCACACGAGACAATATATGACATTGTGAGTTACCTGATGAGGCAGCAACCATAGTATTAAGATTAGCACCATTGTTTACCTTATTCAATGTTTTATTTAGGTTTGTGCTTTTGGTAAAATTGTGACTGTAGGACGTATTTTTAATTGGGCTATTGTTCACAACATTTGGTGGTAGAGTAGAGCATCCAATCAGTGATTGATTTTTCGGAGGTTTAGTGCAAAGAACTGAATTGCTCAATTTGTAAACATGATTTTGAGTTCCATATACAGGCGCAATTTCCTTTCCCGTTAAATATTGTTGGCTATAATTTGGGTTCTTGGGAATAGATATGTTACTTAATATTTGGACTTTTGAAGTCTTGGGTCTGCTTATAAAGTTAGTCTCAGCGACAATGTTTGCTCTTCTTGCTTGATTGGCATCGTTAACATAGCTCTCACTAGTGATAATGATTTGTGACACACCAGCTTGTGATCTCTCATCATCTATCTTATTGGGGTCATTAGTAGCAGCACTGGTGGCAAGTATTGTAGGCAGCCATAAGGTTTGGTTTCCGGATACATCTTGTACATTCTGTATAGATGTAATGTTTCCAACAGCTGCATCAACGTTTATCGTAAAGTTCTGAGGCAATTTAGTAACATTTTGAACAATTGCAGTACTCAGTGGTGCTTGTATAAGGGTTGTGGGATTTTCTACATAATTGTCGTTTGAATCTTCTGTTTCTTGTAGTATAGGATATGATGGGCGTCCGACATTATCTATGGCCTCTCCAAGCCTGACAATGCCACCACAGAGGGAATCAACAGACATGTCAGTATCACAGTGTTTCTCAGCAATGTGATATTCAACTTCTTTGTCTACTTTGTGCACAGATTGAATGATACTTTCAGGGTTTGTAGAATCAGGTTCAGGATCACCTTCAGTGGGAGACAAGGGCAGGGCCCTCAACACAGGAGTTCTCACACTAGATACATTCATATTCGCTAATTTGTGATCCAATACATGTTCATATACATTTTCACTGGAGGTGGTCGGCCCGTAATCCTATAACAAAACATTAAATCAAATTAATCTTTTTGGAATTCAGGTAACACAGATGATACACATAATTTCGTATTTGTAATGAAATGTGTCAGTTTTGCATAATGTGCATAAATATACATAACAAATTATACATACAACTGTTCACCAACAATGTTTGTTCTTCAAGCACTTGACTCTAACTATACAAATTATAGTGGACTTTTTATCCACAAGAGTTTAACACTATAGTCCCACAAACATAATAAACCTATAAGAATATTGACATTGGAATCAAAAGGTTCTAAATCTACTGGTTGACACTATGTTCCCTACATAACATATTTTACAGGCTATCAACAGGATTTATAATCTGAGAAAATATAAAATTTCCTCATTTATAACACAAATGTATTAGCAACTTTAAGTTACTCACCAAAAACCTGTAAAACTAAAACTTAAGAGGATATCAAAGAATACACTTTTTCTTTCAAAACTTTATTTATTACAATGTCCAATAGCTGAAAAATGGTACCTCTTCATGTTATGACTTTTACTGCACATTAAAAAATACATGACTAGTTTATATCCAAATGGAATAACTCTCACTCACACAATAAGAACCTGCTCATAGGTATTTCACAGGCAGTTAGTTGGTATCAAGCAGGAATTGTAAAATAGTGTAACTTGTGGTGTAGGAAGTAGGAAAGCAGAGTAGGAACATGATGTTATTGGTTACAAAATCATAATATTTACAAATATAGTGCTAAGTGACTGGTTATGTGTCCATGTCAGCAGGACTATCTAGGACCTTAGTAGTGTGTGTAATGTTAGTAAAGGCGTTGTACTTACTTGCCGGGCCGCTGGTTCGTATTCTGGTGTGGCTGACATAACGTATATACTATCATCTTGGGTCAAACCCGAGATGACGCCTTGGAGTGCACCTCGGCCCCCAAATTTTATTTCATGTGACTGCAACCGAAAATCTATTCTTTACCCATATATCTTCAAAATGATCAGGTATACGTGCGTCGCACACCATAATGTTCTTGGTAAAATATTTTTAGTCCACAAATAGGATACGACCGCCGAGGTCATTGTTCCACAAAACTATTTGAAAGTCACTTTATTTTGTACCCTACGAGAAAATATAAAGTATAACACCAAAATAATACATAATAAACGTAAGAGAAAAGGAATAAATGCGTAAAATAAACGAATAGGTTAATCCACTGCCGCCATTATTGTAGCACGGAAACTGAAATGTCTCGGTAATAAACATCAAAAAAAGTAAACACAATACTTATAAGATATTTTTAACTGAAATCTTACCGTAAGATAGCAGTTTAACACGAAATATTTAACTTTACCGTGCTACTAATTCACCTTAGTAACAAAGACATCAGAAATATAAGTACATACGAAAATGAGGTTTGTATATTTATATCCCCTCAATAAAATTGTAATGAATTAATTGTACCGAAAACGAGAGTAATTGTTAATTGGAATAAGAAATTAACTAAATATTTATAGAAAATGACAACATCACAATAGTTAAAAAGTATGAAATCCAGATGTAAACACTTTTCGAGAAAATACTGAAGGAAACTTGTACTGACCTGTATATAAGCAATTTTACAACACGTAGGACGTAGCGAAACTATTTCCATCAAATAATTGCATAGCACGTAATAAATAGGCCTCAAAGTCCGTAACTACGACCAAAACATTCACAAGAGTCGAAGATGGCGGCCATTGCATTTTCTTGATACAAAACAACGGGGGTTTCATGAAACATGTCGAACTACTAAGTACTTCCGGTCAAGCGAGTATTACTTTATAGAATATATTTATATTCTCAATGAAATAAAGTCTAGGTAACGGAAATAACGATAAAATATTACAAAATGTTTTAAAAGTTTTAATTTATCATTTTTAATTAAATAAAACATTATTTTAATATAAAAAGTACGTAAAAGTGGTGGTTTATTGTCTATGGATAAACTTTAAAGACAATCAAGTTCTTTTTTTAATTTTCTGAAAAGAATAGACAATATAGTACATGTTACTGATGCGTTCAAAATTATCAACAAACTATTTAGTCTACGGCTAGTCTAAAATCCTAAAATCAAATCATAAAAGGCAATCAATAATGACCAGATGAATATTTACTGGTAGGGTAGATTTAAAACTAAACTTTTGGTAAATATCATAATTTACACTTTTCAAGTGGTTAGTGACGCACAAATTAGACAGTACTGTAATAATATCAAGAAAGTAACACAAAAATAACCGGCTGGACACAATGATTGTTTAATTTCCAATTTCCTTATGCCCCGTGATAGCATGGTTTTATATTGGTACGTTTATTAAATTACCACACTGACTAGCCAGTGCTGGAGGCTGGAAAGCTTAAATCAGCGCCGTGATCTCGAACCTTTGTGGTCGAACTTAGGGTAGGTTTGTATCTACCTATACTTTTAATATGTTGATCTGTATTTGTCGCGGTAGCGGGGCAAATAAACGGCTTTTCTTCCTTCCTTTCCATTCCATGTACGAGTTTATGAGTACGTTTGACACACTGATAGACAAATAAGTATGCTTGGGCCGTAATAAAAAATTGTTCTCTGTCAGGGTTTATTATTTTATTAGAACCTCTAATTGGGATAAATACCATTGAAAAGAAACCAAGTCTGTAAAACTACTCATATCATATCAGTGGTAAAGACTCTTTCATAGACATTTAAAAAACACCTAAAACCTTGTAACAAATGACTTTACTTAAATGTCTCCGTTAGTTTTAGTTTAATATAAGTTGCAAATATTTATTTATTTCTTTCTTTTTAAATATAAATCATGTAAATAAGTTCTAAGAAATATGGTTTTCCTCCATAGACAATCTAGAATATTTAGCTAGTTATTCTCAACAATCCTAAAAATAGTCTATGGTTCACCCACGTCACAGAGCCCACAAAATTATAAACATACATACTTCCATACCAAAGAGTATATTCCATACTTTAAATGTCAATTGTCAAATACACGTTTTGTAGTATTGAGGTTATGTTGATAAAAAGTGGACAAAACTAGATAATTACATTAAAATTTTACCAGGTTACTCTAAATAATTTATAATGAGTGACTTTGTGTTAAACGACACTGACTCAGAAGTTGATTCTGATGAGGAAGTAAGTTTCTGGGTGAAATAAAAGGTGTCGCGTCCGGTAAAGAACATTCGTTTTAATTTACATTTATTTGTTCTTTATTTTCTGTTTCTAGCTGCAAGAGGCGTTTGCTAAAGGATTACTTAAACCTGGTCTTAATGAAGAAATAGAAGTAACTCAAAAGAATTATGTAAATAACGTAGCAGATTTAAAATTAAAACTGAAAGATATTCAATTAAAATTACCATGGATCGAGACGTTAGACTTGGTAACGGCTGTTGCACCCATGGCTCCAGATGTAGCATTACAAATGCAAGAGACTGCACAGCGAAGAAAGTATGTTCCTTTTGTTATTTATTTTGGAAAATGTATTTCACCATATTACTCCTCTGCACATGGGGAATAAATCTTTGTTTTGTAATTGGCTTCATTAATTCATTCATATATTAAAGAAAAACTGACTTCATTGTTCCAAAATGCATTGTTAAATGTTGTAAAAATGTAAAAAAAAAAATCTTGTCTGCTAAATCAACACTTGATGTAACATAAAAAAGCATAAATAAGGTTGCATTGTTTCTTTCTAGGAATTTAAAAGAAAACAGCAAAGGACATCAACTTTATGATCCTACTCAGAACCCGGTCCTTAATGAGTTCAAACGAGAGAACCTCTTGCATAGACAGGCACAAGCGGCTGTTGTTGAAGGTATAAAGAAACTTAAAGATCTTGGAATCCCTACAAGAAGGTAAGAATTTAACCTAACCCATGTGACTTACAAATCTTAGCCTTCTACTCCTTTTTTAACTGATGGCGTTACACTTTTGACTCTTCGCATGTTGAACCGAGTTTGCAGGTTGCAGTGATCACTTGTCATCACGCAATCCACATGCTTATTGCACTTGATTATTGCTTAGTTAATATACTTTAACTTTATTTATACATTTTCAATCTGTAAAATATTGTAACAGAAGTGTCCAGGTAAATGTAGCCTTTTCCGTAGATTTCTTGCTATATTAGCTAAAGTCCTGGTTAAAACAATAATCTTATCAACATCCTCAAACAGTTGCTGACCACTGCCGGACAAACATATATTAATATCTAACCATTATTAAATTTACAGAAAACTATTATTCATATTAAATTATTCATTTTATATTGCAGTAAATGTTAATTCCAACCTGTCTAATAATACTTTTTAATTTACTTCCAGACCTGATGATTACTTTGCGGAGATGGCTAAATCGGATGAGCACATGCAGAAGGTACGCAAGAACCTGATGGCGAAACAGGCAGCACAGGCACGTACAGAGAAAGTTAGACAGCTCCGAGAACAGAAGAAGTTTGCTAAAAGAGTCCAGGTAACATACTCATACTCAATAGTTTTTATACAGTAATATAATATGTGCGCCACCACTTTTTGTTATGCCAGTAACTTCTAGGAAAAAGAGAAAGTATTATGTAACTTATGAAATGTAAATGCATGTTTAAACAGTGCATTTGATTCTATAAATGGTATTTTACAAATGATTGATTGCACTTTTCCTCTTTGTATATCCTTACTTCCTTACTAATATTATAAATCGGAAAGTGAGTTAGTTTGTTTGTTTGTTCCGCTTTAACGCCGTAACTACTAAACCAATTGCTTTGAATTTTTGCAGACGTAAAGTTAGAAGTCTGGATTAAATAATAGGGTACTTTTATCCCGGAAAAATTTGATAGTCTCAAGGGAAAATGAAATTATTGGTATAGATGGTGCTGTGTGTATTGGCATATGTCACATAGGCTTTTTATCCTTTTGTGATGCGTGCGAAGCCGCGAGTAAAAGCTAGTTTTTACATAAATACTTTTTGTATTAGTAAGTAATTTTTACATTCACTAATAAAATATTATGTGTTTTTTCTAGACTGATGCAAGGCTAAAGCAGGCTGCAGACAAGAAAGAAATGTTGGAACAATTAAAACGTGTCAGGAAAGGGAAATCATCAGACTTGGGATTCCTAGATGACAATAAAGGTAGCAATAAGGGCAATAACAAAGGAAAAGATGGTAAAGGTCCACAACATAAAGTCAACAAGCGACGAGCTATGAAAGACAAGAAATTCGGGTTTGGCGGCAAAAAGAAGGGTTCTAAACAAAACACTCGGGAATCATCCAACAACTTTGATGGTTTCAATGGCCATGCGGCTCAAAAGAAGAATTTCAAAACGAAATCCTTCAAGGTCAATAGCAAGAAGAATCAGAGGCCAGGAAAATCTAAAAGGAAGAACAATAAGAGATAAGAATCCATTTAGTTTTATGTTTTAGAATAAATATTTTACTATATATAATGTGTTTCTTTTGCTACAACATAACATAAAATCATGCCTTTTTATCCTAAGGGGTAGGCAGAGATGCACACTACGGTACGTAAGGTCACCCCCTAGGGTGTTATATTGTATAGTGCCATATACCAGGCACAATTCTAAACTGTGCTACTGCTGAGAATTAAAAAAAACCCAATACTAAGTACTTAACCCAACTCGGGAATCGAACCTGAGACCTCTTGCCCGGCAGTCGGACCACTCTGCCAACGAGGCAGGCAGGCATTTAGCTACATACTACCATAATACTTGTATTATATATATTATATATAGGTATATATTGATATACCTATACAACCAGTCGCATACACCGATGAGTTGCGCGACATTTAAAATTATTGCTAACATTTGCTTATAAATGTGGGTTGGTCCTTTGACCTTTAGCTATCTCAGTCGATCTATAAAATTATTGTAAATATAACTACCAATTGTGTAAGCAACTAGCCATAATTGTTCCTAACTTGGAATAACATTTTCAATTTCGTTGCAAAACTTGTGTCTATAACGACTTGATATCTTAATGCGTATTTTAAATGTTTATATCTTTATAAAGATAGATTTCACTGCCTAAATGTCATGTTTCAAAAGGCATTCTATTCTCAACATTACATTCAAAATATAAACGACTTAATTTCATTACCTCTATATTGAAATAAATTCTTGAGAATTCAATCCTTCCTACACTTATTGCAAGCAACTGTAGGCCTACTCTCATTCTTCACCATTAGTCGCGGAGAACCTAACGGGTAACCGGGGCTCCGGCTCGACGTGCAGGAGAAGGAACGGGGTGGTTTTTAGTCAGTAAGAGTCTGACACTCCCTCCCGCCTCACCCAGGCGGGAGCAGTCATTCGATGATTCTCCCCCCGTAAAAAAAAATTCATCTCTATTAAATAAGATCACATCAAAATATTGAATATTCAATTCACACACACACAATACACGCACATACATAGTCACGTCTGTCTTCCATTTTAGATGATACCTCTTTTCGTCAATTTTTTCAATGCGACCAAGGGAAGGATATAAAAAGAAATAAAACATCAAATTTGATAATATAAAATGTAATTATATTATATTGACATACTATATAGTTCTACCATTTGCGACCCTTGCCCTTTTTCTTTTGTTGTTGTTTGCGCGACCAGGCGCTCTCCGCTTGTTTGTCGACGCGAGGACTCTTCGCGGTCGACGCCGCGGCTGTCGGCGTGGTCTGCTGTTTGCTCATGTCACTGGAGTTAGACAAAAAATATGTCAATTACATACCTTAAATATCGTGATAGAATTTAGTTAGTCTAGAGTTTCTATGAAGATTTTACTTAAATTAATTAAATAGTGATTTTTATCACGACTTACTATTGGTCAGTTGCAGTAGTAGACATTCCCTGACTGCCCTTGATGACGTCACGCCGTACGCCGCGACGTTTCCGGTACGCGGTCCGCTCGTACTTCGGTAGCCATCTGAAAAATAAGGAATTATTACTTATACACACCTTTATAATACTTAAAATTAAACTAAGATTTTTTTTTTGTTTTAATAATAATTTTGAATTTAGGCATTTTTTAGGAATTCTGTAAGATGACATCGATTCACATAATTATGTTACATTTTATAGTCCTTTTCAGCGAATACTTAGGTTTATCAAGCTACCTTTCTGGGTCCGGAGGTCTGGACAGGTCCGCGTTGGGTGGGAGCTTGGTCTTGCGTTTGCGTTTCAGTTTCTTCTTTCCAAGTTCCGAACCAGGTGTTCTGTTTGTAGAGAGAATATTTTATTATCAGATATTTTGCAATTCTATTAACTGCTTGATGTAGTACTCTATAACTTTATTATTAAAATTGGTAATATTGAGAATAAAGCTTTGACTAGAAATTAACCTCGTTTCTTATAATTCATTTCTATAAATAAAGAATTATAATAATTAAAAGTCATCTATAGTTATAAAATTTACCCAGGTGATTGTTCCTGTTTGCTTTGCACAGTTTTCTTCACAACTTTCGCTCCCATCATCCATTTTGACGATTCCAAAGCGTCTATGTCTATCTTAGTCTGGAATTTAAATACATATTGTTAGTATTTGTGATTAATAATGTATATTACAAGACTAAAATAGAGTAACATTAAAAGAGGTTTAAATTGAAAGAATTTTTGATGGACGAGGATGCATGTGTTTGTCTCTGGTTTTTCCAACCAGGTGTGATGATATGTTTCCTTACTTTGCCCGGCTCGAGGAGCCAGGAGTTGGAACGGGGTGCTCTATACACGAGTTTGACACACTCTGCCGCCTCACTCAGGGCGAGAAGAGTCATGTGATTGTTTTCAACGAAGAAGTTTGTATGTAAGAAATAGTAGTTACCTCGAGCTCATGCAGCGGTGGCAGCGACTGCGCGAGTTGCTTGGCCCGGTCGGGGTCGTGCTGCGCGAGTGCCTTGACGAGGCGCGCCAGACTGCGCGTGTCGCGCGGCGCGGCGCGGGCGACGGCCTCGTGCGCGGCGGCGGCGGCGGCCGGCCGCGCGGCCCGCCCGTGCGCCGCCGCCGCCGCGCGCCACACGCACACCAGCGCGGACACGCGCTGCACGACACACATTGTTACATGTCATTATTTGGTTTTGTACGGCCTATGTACAACAGTGGAGGTGATGATGTCCATAATGTATGAGGAAAGAGGTTTATTTTTTCTCGGCCTTATTTGCAATCAGATATTTTTTTTTTTTTATAAAAAACGTTGCCCACACTAGGACTTTGTCCTGTTTAATGGGTGCGTTTACAAACATACAATTTCACATACACATGACACCCAGACCCGAAACAACAATTTGTGGATCACACAAAGTGTTGTTCCGTGCGGGAATCGAACCCGCGACACGTTGCACGGTAGCCGGTTTCCCAGCCACCGCGCCAACCGTGCAATCAATAGGTATCAACAATAATAGTTAACCAACATTTTAAATATGACTAGATCAATAATAATAGCGTTTTGTTTGATATGAGCTATTAAAGTGATAATTATGATTAACAACCATAACAAAGACATTGCTCAGTCATTCTTATTAGAATCATTTTGTAACTCATTTACTAATATTCAAACATATGTCGTCTATTCTTACCTCGTCATCATTCTTATAATGTTCATAGACATCGGAGAACATTTGCGAGGCCTTCTCGTATTCATTGTCAGCAGATAGCAAGGTACATAGGACTCCGATCACACCCGGCCGGTACTTGAACTCACTCTCTTCTAATAACTTCACTGCGCCTTTACGATCACCCTGTAAGAATAAGAATAATAAGGTTGAGAAATTAATAGAGGATTCTCTTATTTTCTCTTGACATTAATAGGGCTACTACAAGAGAGGCTAATGCCAGGACCGCTAGTGAGGCATAAGGTCTTTTGTACATCTTAAAAAACTATTCACTATGCGGTTATTGGATATTCCAGTTTAGACACCTGCAGTGATTAGACAAAGATGACTTAACGTTACATTAGCACAAAACTGTAGTCCACATTCTCACATAACTGTTATGCTTCAATTGTGTAGTCAATTGCATTTTGTATTTAGATTTAAAATTGTAGTCGCGGAGAACCTAACGGGTAACCGGGGCTCCAGCTCGACGTGCAGGAGAAGGAACGGGGTGGTTTTTAGTCAGTAAGAGTCTGACACTCCCTCCCGCCTCACCCAGGCGGGAGCAGTCATTCGATGATTTTCCCCCCTTAAAAAAAAAGATTTAAAATTGTCTAATTTATGAACTTATATCTTTGTAAAAAATATGTTATTGTACATACCTGAGACAGTAAAACCTGTGCGGCTGCCAAGGTAAGATCTCCGCCATGTTTGAGGAGCAGAGTGACGGCTTGTTGCCTCTTGCCCTCCTTCGTTAGCGACGAGGCCTCCACTAGCGCCGCGCGACGGTCCCCGCCGAACTCACGAACCAATTTCACACAGCATTGCTTGCAGAAATCAGGCTAGAAATAAAGAAGTGTTTTTTTAGAGATGATATCGGTTTTTGTAGTTACATATTATACATTTTTATTTAAAAGATTGAGTAATTGAGCTTGAAGAAAGAAGTACCTTACCTTACCTTCTACCGAAGAAGAAAGATCCTATATTTTACTACTATACCATAGTATACAATCAAACAATAACCTATTTACTAACTTAGTATGAATCCACAAATATTAATTTGAAACAAACAACAACTCACAACTGAGATACATGTCTTTAATCGACAGTGGCGCCACCCAGTGGTAAACAGAAAATATATTTCAATTTTTGGGCACTTTTTCTTATTAAGGACGTTTGTATAATAAGTTAATAGGTGTTTATGTTTACCTGGTTAGAGTAAATGGCGAGTATGGCTTGGTTATACGTGATGGCGGCTCGTTGTCTCGAGTTCAGTTTGTGCTCGAGTCCGTCAGCTGTCGCCGCCTTCATACGTTTGCGGGAGTCGAAAACGTTGCCATCCCTGAACAAATTAAAAACATTATTAAGTAAAAGTTACAGATAATCAAGGTACTAAATATCAAAACTAATGGATATTCAACTTAATTACCTAAGTAATAAGGTGGAAAACTATTAAAAACTTACAGGACCCCAGCCTGTTTTTTACTTGATGTACACATGTTAAAGTTTTTAATGTGAGATTTGCTTTTTATCATAATTCTTATCAGCTAAAAGATGTCCAATCCCTAATGACTTCCTGATAAGTCTATAGCTTGCACATAATTTAAGGGAATACATGTTATTAATTGTTTACATACCTATTAATAACAACAATATTGTTGCTGGCAATAGCAACTAGTGCCTGGTCACTCGGCTTGTCCTTCAACACATTCTGGTAGATGGTCATAGCTTCCTTTTCCTTACCCATCTGTTGCAGACAGTAAGCTTGTTGGACCCTGTAAAGATGTATAGTGTTAATGTAATTAAAAATGGTAGCTTGTGAAACTCATAACTTGAAATCTGGATCGAAAACCACTGCTTACTCTTTCGAAAAAGAATAAATGCGATAATAATATTAAGTTTACATTCTTTTAAATTATTTTTTAATTTTATTTGGAGGTGCAACCGGAAGGATTGACAAGGCTGGTAATGAAATTGTATCTCCTTTGCTTTTGCAGGTCATCAAGGACGGGGTTGATTGCTTATCATCAGATGCTCCAGCTCCTTGTTTGGCACTCCAGCCCTTCAAAATTATAGTTCTTACCTGATGATAGCAGCTTCTTCTTTAGCTTCCTCCTCAGTGCCTCCGTCCTCGAGTACGCTCTCTGAGCAGGAGTGCTCGGCTCGCTTGAGTACCGGGAGCGCCTCGTTGTACTTGCCGCGCATCGCTAGCGTGCTGCCCGCGTTGTACGACAACTCGTACGTGTGCTCCTCGAATTGGGGCAAGTCTGCTGACTGGAAGAATTTTGAACATTTGTTTGGTTGTTGAAATATTGAGTTGTGTCGTTTGCAGCAAAATGCTGTTCATGCACACAAATGTGGCTAACCCTTGAAGATTGTTGAAAATCATCCCCTAAATTTGTTCATACAAAAGTAGTTGTTAAACATTGGAAATAAGGTCTATAATATGGTTAGTGGAGAGCGGTCACTGGTGATGGCTTGGGGATATATGGGTTAAACTTAGTTGAGTTTCTTGGTCAAACAGTTACATAAATAAGCTGTAAAACATATTAATAAGATATTCAAGAGTGTGCACAAGTTCTGGAGGGCAGATGACAGTTAGATTTAAGATGGTTCTCAGACTTGGAGAATAAATGACAGGAATGAAGTGTGTAACAAATGAGACAGATCAAAAATACGATAAACTGCAGCAGAACTTACTGGGTTGAGTGCAGCCAAGTTAGCCACAACTGCAGACATGTTGGCCTTCCTCTCATCTTCATACTCATCAGTGGTGTTCTTCACAATGTCCCGGTACAAGTTATAGCAGTCCTGGTACTGCTCCAGACGGTACAAGATTTGAGCCCTGGAAGATGAGTAAGTAAGGGTTAATTAAAATTAATGGGTCTTTAATATTTTTCTTCCATTTTGAGAACAAAAGCGGAGGTTTTTAATTTGAAGACTTCTAAAATTTCTACCGAAAAGCACTCTGCTGTCAGCACATCTTCGTGGAAGTAATCACAACACGATAAAACTAGCACAACTTCTGTTGGAATTGGGTAGTTTCCTGGGTCAAAAATAAATTATTTTGATTTTTCAATCCAATTAAATATTGAAAAATAGTTACACTTTCATTCATTGATTTGCCGATATACGATATAAATTTTCGATTTATTCTTGCATTTTTTTCAGATATAAGTGTGCTATTTGACGCGAAAATATGATGACGTCATAAGCTAGTATTTCGTACAAAATTCATAGAACAGTATCCTTTTTGATGTTTCGATAAAAGTATTGAATTTGACTAGTTGTCAACTACCGTATTTGTGCATACAAAAATAGGACCCAACTTTTATTACTATCAGCTTCTCATCCCTTTAAATATACACAAAAAGTTTACCTCAACTCCTTTAAAGCAGGAGTCAGCTCGGGAGCATTTTCAACAGTTTGCAAGGCCTCCTTGGGGCAATTGAGACGGTACTGGGCATATGCCTTCTCGAAATGCAGGTCTGCAGCCAATGCAGCATTCTTGGGGTTGCAGAGTACTGCTAGTGCCTCCTTGAAGTTGTGCAGTTGTATAAGGCACACAATCTTGCAGTGGAATGCCTTCTGCTCATTTGGAGCTATTTGAAGGACTGTAATAGGAGAAAAAGTTTAAAGTAAGGTTCAAATACTATAAACTGGATTTTTGTAGTTTTTAATTGCAAATGTCTCTTCTCACTTCAAATTAACTTTTATTGCGAGATTAAATAATTGTGAGGGTATGCTTAAAATTAAACAGAAGGTATTTTGAAGTTTAACTACAATTTTCTACAGATCACCATCATACATGTTTATTTATATCAATATAGGTTCCTAAAGTATTTTTTAATAAATGCTATTATATTGTAATTTATACTGTAGTACTGATTGTATAATATAAACACAATATGGCAATAAAGCATATGGATTGATATTTTGCAATGATTATTGAACTAACCAGTTAAACAAGTTACTTATTGCAAATTAACTAGAAAAATCACATTTATGTACCGAAGACGATTGAGAATAGATGATAAGGGAGACATTAATTAGATATTGACTATTGCCTGATGAATTTTAATGAGCTTTGAGTGATAAATTGAGGTTTCGGATATACTATAACATAAAGACGGTTTACAAAGATTTCAATAAGATTTATTAATAAAATATTTACTTAGGATCAAAGTTAAGTTAATTAGTTTGTAGATTTTTGTAAATTTACACCAATAATTACTCTTAATTGAAAGATAACTAAAGAGATAGCGTTAGAAAGTGTGGTCATCTTATTACATCATTTATGACTGAATCGTGAGCCCTTTTTTCGCAAATTTTGCAAAGTTGTACTCCTTACCTTTGCCTGTTGCTTTTAACGCTCTATCATAATCACCACTTTGGCAGAATTTATTTAATTCAATATAAGCCTGAACAAGGTTATTTTCCTTGTTGGCTGACATTTTTTTGACAACTTGGCATGACAAACGTCAAATCGTCACCCTATTTTCCTACGTTTAATTATTGCTATCAACAACAACTTTGAAAACTAGCCTTTTTATTTTTAACGAAGTAAAATGTTTTTTATGATGTTTCAATTGTATTGAACAGGCCGATTGTTTAAGCTATAAATTGTCAGAATAAGTTTTAGAAAATATATCAAAATACCAATACGATGTATTTCTTTATTTATATCAATTTGTCAAATTAGCAGTTGCTTTTTTTGCCGATGTATTGAAATAAATCATCAATCAGTATTGATCGATTTCGTAGTTGTTTTATAGAAATAGTTATGCCCCAGTTTATAAAACGAAAGTTTAATAGAATAAAGTACTTTAAAACGTATATACGTATAAATGTCTAACGAACAAAGAGATGACAAAGTAAATTCGGCCGAGAGTTTCATTCAAAAGTATAAAAAGAATGTAAAAGAAGCATTGTGCAAGTTGGGGCGCTTACGTCGCGGCGTCGGCGTCGTATGTCGAACTTATCAAAGTTAGACTTGCGGAAGTTCCAAGACCAGCCAGTTTGTTGCTAGTTTTTGAACGTCGAAAAATTGAAAATTGTTGCTGCAAGTTTTGAAAATGGAGGATGTGGTTGATTGAAGGATATGGTTGAAAACAAAAGCCATCATGGCCAGCACATATTGCATTATCATTTAATAAATTCATTCAATATTAACACCGATGGAGCAGGGTGATTTCTAATCAATAAGAGTCTCATACTCTTCTACACCACTTAAGGAGTTATTAGTATAATGTTATTTCATCCTCACAAAAAAAAAGGAAAGTTACACACGTATAGGTATCCTGTATACATGTGTGTGTATGATATAGAAGTGGACCTACCTGGTATTTAGGTAGGTATTACTTACAAAGAACATTTCTGATGTATTGGTATATCAACGTGTTATATTTAAGTCTAATCTCACAATCAGCCACGCAAAGTAAAGATGAGGAAATTAATTCCTAAAAACGTCAGGCTAAAATTAACATATTTCCGTATCTATTATGAGCACCTCCTCCAACAATTCTCAATTAGGAAGCGGGTCAAATCCAAACACAACCGAAAATATCACCCTGTTACAGTGTTAGCCGATCCTAATTAATCACCCCAAACCAAAACAGTAAGAAAACTTCAACATAATAATGGCGTCAATGTCGCAGTCTCGCAGTCCGAGGATGTTGCAAGACAAACAACGTTAAAGTAACATCTATTGTCGCGGCGTCCGACGACCAACTCGACTTTTAATCGCATTACTAGAAGTTGCCGCGAACTTCAGCGCGAAGTTTCGTATTGCGACCCAGACAAAGTCGGCGCGATTGTGGTTTCTAAAGTAATTTCTATTAGGTGGAAGCTAGTAATGTTTAATCTAGCTGTCTTTAGCGGTTAATGGTTGCGTGTTGGTGTTTTATTAAACCCGGTATTTCTAATAAGTATACTCACTTAGTTGTTTTCGCATTGTTCCCGGTTTGTAATGAAAGATTTTAGTAATTTTGTAAGTGTCTATTTAAGAAACTATAGATATGTAGATATTTCCTTTGCAGTGAGTGAAGCAAGTGAAGAAATCTATTCGATGAATAAATAAGTATAAAGTAAGGTATCTTAAACAAGCAACATTCATAAATCGTGTGATGTGCGTCGCCTGAAGTATAAAACTGAAAGTACATAATTCACAACTGATATCTAACAACTTTGCTCATACCGTCTTATTTTATGGTCGTAGCTACCCTTCAAAAATCCATAACCGTTCACCTTCCACGTGGAGGTTGGAGCATCACTTACAAAATTACTCCACGCATACTCTTGTTGAATTAAATCGTTTCAAAGGTGGGAGGGCGCAGTATTTTATCGAAGCCCGCCTGATAAATTGCGCGAAATTCAATTTAAACGGGTAATGTTTGTGTCCGTATTACTACGTCACTCGACGCTGGCCTATAAACTCTGCCGGTCCACTGAACAATTGAAATATTGTGCCTTCAGGTACCTTGGTCCATAAAAATATTCGAGTAACTACGTGGGTCGTGTTGCTGCCTCGTAAAATCTGTTAGAGTGCTGGACCGATTGGCAATATGGAATGATTTGTACATGAGCCGATAGGTTGATCTAAGTAGGTTGGTAGGTATAGGTATGTTAAAAGGTCTAGCCTAACTAGTATTATTAGATACCTTGACAAACCCAGGTATCGAACCTGAGAGCATTTTTAATAATGTGCTCCTTCGCATATATCTAAGAAACCTAATCGATTTGTATAAGACTTGGTATATTCCCTTTAGGAGCAATTGTATAAAGCACTTACTTAGCTTAATTGACGTTCTTATTGCCAATTGATTGTCAATCTTATTTTACGTTTCAATAATGGGGTTCGTGTAATGATTGTAATAAAACATTCTAAAGACTCAATTATTCCGTTCAATTCTTACATTAAGATTCTTCACGGTTCTGGTAATGCGCAGTATCTGCTAGGTTGCCTATCTTTTCTTACACTATACATATACAGGGCCGAATTGGTTCGATAACGGGCCCACAAATAAATTATTTTAATCTCAAAAGTCGATAATCAAATTGTAATTTCATTCAGACGATTAATATTCCCGACAATATAAACTATTTGTCTACATTCTAGCTACTTAGATATTTAAATTACTCTTCATTTACTATACGAGTGTCCCCTGGATAATCTAATGGATTAATGTACAAAGTTTCGAGGTCTAGTTCGGTTTAAATTTCTTCATGACGCGCTATTAAGGTTTATTTATGTTCTCATAAAAATTGTAACCCAGGGACCGATGTACAACAACTGTCATCCAACTTTATATGTAATTTGTCAATATAAATCCTCCTTGTACCGACTAATTTTCGTGCAATACGCAAAGGGATAACAGATTAGAAAATTCCGTTAGTCTAAAAAAGGTTGACCCATTTGTTACCACGCGGGACACTTTTTTTCCTGACAAATTGCCTGAAAGTAATTTTAAGCCCAAGACCAGTTATTTATGTACATTACTTTAGCTTTATGTTCGTTCAGCAGCGTGTAGATATTCATTTGTGTTCTCTAACAGATCGTTTGTTTTATATCTACAAAATGGATTCACAAGAATGGGTTTGTGAATTTTAAAGGTGGCAGTTGTATGGCCCTTCTTGGTTTAAATACTTACCATATATACTATTCGCCTATCTAGGCGAATCTATCTAGGCATCTGCCTACGAGCATTACCGAACTTAATAATTATAAACAGAATTTTCAACAAGTGTTTCTTCAGAAGAGCGGGTTTTGCCTATACATATACCTACCTTATCGTTAAGTAATAGGTACTGAAATCGCTTATTATACGAACAAGCTATGAACATTAAGCTATATAGGTACTTTAATTTAAAACCAATATCTAATTTTGCTTTGTTGTTTTGTTGCTTTTAGTTTTAGTGCCTAAGATATTTTTGAATACCTTCAAAGAACACCTTCCATTTATCAGTGTAGATCTATCACAGCAGTTCTTAGAATAACAACTCCCATACCAAATAAAAGCTTACATTCAAATTCCCCATCGCGGAGTAATTTTGCACTGAATTCAAGTATTTAATTTCATCTGCGACGTTTCTCGTCTCATTACAGTGAATGAAACGACATCGGATGCATGTGGATGATGATTTGACGCAAATTGGACAGGTGTCAGGAATGCCTGCCGGCGTGGAGACGAGGCTGCGATCCTTAGATTCTACTCGTCGTTAGTAGTATACTAGACTTAACGAGTTTGGTTCTCGAGGTTTGATTCTCCGTGTTCAGGGGTGTCGAATAAAAACTTTTTCATCATTTTTAATATAGAGGTACGTAGCTTTTTTTTGAGACAAGCCCGCCACAACCTCCAAAAACCGCTGCAACTCCTGTAAGCCAGGATTTACAGTAGATACAACTATGATAACACCGGAACACTGAAGTCCGGCGCGTCCCAGGGACATGAGTAACTGTCTTGGTTCCCGCAACGAAGTGAATCAGATTATATTATAAAAACACGATAGTTTCCACTTCCCTTGGTGAATTACTAAAGTGAATGCCTAAAGGCAAAAAAGGAGACTGTACAACTGGGTGTAGCCCAGTCGCCAAGCACAACGGAAATTTGACTAAAAACTAAGTGGGTCCTATGTGTGAGCTGTTATACTTGCTTTCAATAATAGGTATAGGAAAAGCGCTTAAACGTACGGAAATTTGTTCTAGATAATATAAGTACGTAGCTATAGGGTACCTACGTCAAAAAATTACAGACAATTTGGTATATGCAGATGCACTAGCCATAACTGTTCTCAATCCACTGTTGCTAAATATCCTATAACTAATCTCGTCTCATCAATTTCAGAAGGGGCAAGCTGTTGTCGTACCTATATTACGTTTATGTAGAAAGTATTAACACCGGAACATGTAACAGACTCATCCAATAATACTTCGCTCCATCTGGAAATTCTGCATGAAAATGACTATTTTCAGTATTTAAGTAAAATGAAACACTAATATTTTTCTCCACAAACGTGATTGTGAACTTTAAATTAAGTTTAGTTTAACAAAACGACACACGTAACTACCTGAGCAGGTCAATTTCCAAACTTTCTTCAGTGACGTTTTAACTGGTTGGGGGTTTAGCTGTATTAGAACTTTGTATTGAGAAACAAACCAATTTGAAATTGAGTTGCAGTATTGTACATTAGTTGTGTTCATAAAGTTCCTCTGTACAAGGTACAAGCTAAGTTCGTATGCGTTTGATAGGAATCGTATCGTTTTGTAAAAGTATAAGCCGTAGAATTTTAATGATAATTGTGGTATTAAAGGTTATTTATTTCTAGGTTTATTCGAAAGTCTGAAGTGGTTTTCAAAGCGCGGTTTTTAGGAATTTTAGTAATGATATCTTTTATTGAAGAAAATTCTTAAATATCAATGTTTTTTAACACATATTTAATTTTGCTAACCCTATCC